GCCCAGGCATCTAAAACATGGGCCTTTGGGAACATTCAACAACCAACCAATAGTACCTCTTGACATGTGTTAGTTATCATCTTCTTTGATCCCCAGTCCCATGTTGTGCTTTCTGTAGAAAATAAATAATTATGACATATAAAGGCTACATCTAAGGAAAAGTGGAAAATCAAGTTTGGGAAACAGGACACATATTTGAGAAGTGGCAAGACGACCCAGGACTTGGCCCAAAGTCATTCAAGACAGCTACATGGCATTGACTTTGAGCCATGGATTATAAAGGAAGAAAAGGTCACCTTGGAATAGTGTGAGCCTAGGAGCAATTCACAAGAGGCTGGAAATGAGCCAGGGGTTAAAGGATGGAAAGGTATAGAAGGAATAAAATGGAGTCCAGTGTGGCCAGGAGGAGAAAGTGAAAAGGTATCAGATCAACACAGGAATTACACTAAAGTAGCAGCTGGAGGTTTGGGATTGGTGATCTGGAGAGAAGAGATAATGGCCAGTAAGTCATTAGCAGACAGGTGTGAGTTGAACACATAAGGCCCTGAGAGGTGACACAAGGGGCCAGGGAGCACCACTCCGGGCTCAAGGATCAGCTCTGGTTGATTGCAAGTCTGAGAGGGTAGTGACCACACGTGTCCCAGGTACTCATTGTTTCCCGAATCCAGGAGGCTTGACACAAACCCTCACAGTGAATATATAGAACAGATGGTGGCGGAAAGTCAGCCCAGCACAAGGGGCTTGGATGTTAAAGAAAAAAAGACTCAAAGGCACATAGTCCAGCTCTGCAGAGAGACCAAGGATGGTGTGGTCCTGGGAAGATGGAACCCGACAGAGGTGAAGCTATGGGTCAAGGAACTGCATGAGGTTAGTGTTGAGCAGAGGGGCACACAGGCAATGGACAGGCAGGAGGAGTAGCAGGATGACCGTGATGGGGAGAAGCAGGCAGGGAGAGGCTGAGCCTGGGAAGGTGGAGACACTCCTGGGGGACAAAAGCAGATACCAGTCTCTGAGGACAGAAGGAAGGAGGGCTGGAGGGGGGGAAACATTCAGCTCCCCAAGATGCCCTCTGCCTTCTCAATCAAGAGAACGGGTTTTTAGGAAGAAGTTTTGTTAAAGAGAGTCAAGGAGTCTTCTAAATGGCCTGAAGGGAAAGAGCCAATGCATGACTTTCAAGATAGGAGCAAGTAGTCCAGCCCAACCCATGAACCACATTTTTGCAGCCCAGAGCTGTCACAAATGTAACCAAAGGGCCCAGTGTTGTTACATACATCTTCTACTTGCTCCTGAGTAACCCACTGTGGTCCCTTGGGGGCTCATTCTCTAGGACCTAACCCAGTGTCCAGAACCCGCAGTTGTATAACAAGGAGAGCCGTTGCCACCTCCTGATGCCTTTTCTGGAATCAAAGGCATCACATAAATAATGAGGGAGAGGGCCTTACTAGGCTTAGGTTTGGGTGCATGTGACCAAGTAGTTACATCTTAATTTAGCTCCTTCAGAATCCCTGGAAAGGCTGAATAAATGCAAAACAAAGACAATGTCAAATGCAGAGTGTGTGTTGGAACACAGGTGTGGGGATGCAAGCATCTGATAAGGATTGTACCAGGTGAACTCTAAATACCCTTGCAGACTGGCAGGTGAAGGAAAATGCTATGAACCAGACTGAAGACAGAAAGTGAGAAGCAAAGAGAGAACCAGCATCCTAATCATGCTAGTCACCATTCATGATAAACAAACACACAAGTAAAGAAAGAGAAATGCTTTGTGCTTAATCTCCAGCTGAGGGGTCTCGGGAATTGATGTCTAAAGTCAGGTAGCTCCATATTCCTGAGATTCCTTTCCATGTGGCACATTTTAAAATGAGACAAGGAAGAGAATGAGATGGAAGAGCCTTGGAGCCTGCAAGGTGAGTATTTTTCCTCTCTGAATCCCGATTCTTGCCATTCTTCCAAAGGAGTGACCCCAGCCTTTGCGTGCAGTGCCTGCTCATCTATGTGCCAAGGCATGTGTGGCTTTAATTATACACGACAGTGTCTCATCACATATCCTCGAGTGGGTGAGTTCCCTGGAATGACGAAGCACTGACAAGTAGAGGCAAGGCCTGCTGCCATCTCCTCTCAGCTGGTAAATCCATGGAGGGCGCCTGAGTGCTCCATCCGCCCCGTCTATGTGAGTTCCCATGGCTAGCAAAGGGAGGACTGGCTGGATCCAGTCACAGTGCTCTTGTGCAGTGTGGCCATACCTCACACACTTTCTAAAAACAACCAGAGCAGCTGCTTTTTGCTAACAGGGCAAATGTTCTACTTCCCTAAAAAGGATACTTTGCCTAATATTAGAGGGTTGTGACAGCCAGAGTTGCTTCATGCTTCTTTTTTGATAGACAATGTTTTCTTGCCTCCTCCTTCAAGACTTGGTCAATCACCTGCTTCCCGTCCATCATCACTGGCCTCCTCCTGCTTACACAGGTATATCTGGATCCCTACACACTTCTAACCAGAGGATGCTAGAAGGGGGGCTCTGCCTGTGCCTGGTATCCTGGTGTGGTGACTTCTTAGCTCCGAACTGCATCCTGGCACCCAAGGACCCTTGCGGGGTCTCATGGTTCTCTGCACACCTCCCAAGTTACCATGGAAACACTGATTCTGGTGGCCCAAAGGAAACTAGAATGTGTCCAATTCATCCCATCCAGCAGCTGTGCTGAATCCTGGGATCAGGAGCTCCATGGGACACAAATATGGGCCATATTCTGTGACAGGAGCCAAGTATGACCACTAAAGGGAATACAGGTGATGCTCATTATGCACAGAATCCGACCCTGAGCATTTTTCTGCTCATTGAGGTGCATTTGCAATTCCAAAACCAATACTGAGGTGCTTTGGGGGTCACATGGGGAGCTGCATAGAACGCCAAGAAGCATGAGTAGCCCTGTGAGCACATTCCCAGTCCAGATGGACAAGGCAACACTCTATCATCTTTAAAAATATTTATTTTAATTGGCAAAGAAAAATTCTATATATTTATACTGCTTTGAAATTCTTGTTCCAGTTTACATGCTCTACACAAATACCCTTCTCAAGGTCTACTTAAGACCATGTTTTTCACATTGTTTCAGTGCTTTTTGTTAGTGATGTGGCTCTTTAAAATGGCTTCCAAGCACTGTCTATGCAATTCCATCTGGTGTCCCTAGCACCGGATGGCTGTGATGTGTCTCACAGAGGAGCAGGTGTTTGGGCAGTGCTGTCGGCCACTGAATTCAATGCTTATAAGTCCATGATACATACTCAATAAGTGTCTTGAAAGAGAAATTCACATACAATGTAAAACAAGATTATGTACTGATTGGTTGATAAAATTTGATCAGAGGCTCATAGGGATCTAACACTATTTCCCCTAGGAACAATGGTCCAGCATTCTTGAATTCATTGTTTGTAGTGACTTTAGAAAAGGACTATGCCAAACAATCAGACTCAACTCTGTATTTAATTCAGTAATGGTGAGATCTCTGTTCAAATACCAATGGCATCCTACAAAACTCTGCATTGACCTTAGACCAGGCTTGGACCCAGGCTACCACCATGGAAGGGATCTCCTCCCAGTCACACAAAGGCTAAGGCAGACAGGAACCTGATCTGAGACAGGAGTTCTCTCGCCAGAGTATAGCACCCTTTGCTGTTTCCCACTACTTATCTTTCTTCCTTACCCAGCCTTGGCCCAGTTCCCAGGTGTCCTTCCTCTGACACCGACAGGGAGCATCTGAGGGACACTAAGGCAGACTTGGGAGGACACCCAAAGTGGGAGGTAAATGATGACCTGATGCTGACTCAGGCCCAGCCCCTCCACTGTGACAACCTTCTCCCTTAAAAATTAGAGCCAAAGCAATGGAAGCAGAGGCTGACAGTGTAGTAAGGGCCCACTCTGCTACAGGATGAGCCAACAAGATTAGTGAGACAGAATGTGACCCATGTGCAGAGAGCTGAGCCTCTAGGATTAGCAAGAGCACTGCTCCCTAGTCCTATGCTAAAACTAAGATGGGAAGGGAACCTGTTTCTAGGCAGCCTGGGGCAGGAATGGGGACTCTCAGCCTCTCAGGACCCTGGCATTCCTGTCTGTAAGGCAAAGCCTTCACACCTAGCTGGTCACCAGGCCCCCTTCCAGCTCTCAAGCAGGCAGCAGCACTGCTGTTCTCCAAGGCCAAAATGAACTCTCTCTCTCTCTCTCTGAAGCAGTGAGTTGTTCCCTGGGGCAGGAGCAGTGGGAAGGGAAGGGCTGTGCATTGGAGAGTTGCTGGGCCCTGGGGACATGGCAAGGAGGAACCCTGCGGGATGCAGGGATGAGCCATGAGGCTACGGGATCTAAGAGGGAACCTAGCAGGGCTCAGCAGAAACACAGAGAGGGGCTGGAACCAAGAGGAGGTGAGAGATGAGGGGGTGAGAGATGAGGAGGAGACAGGTACCCTGTGCCTCTGGTCTGCCATGGGGAAGTGAGGGTTCCTTGCACTTGGCGTGAGATCCAGTTCTCACAGAGTGGGGCACTGGAGGGGCAGCTGGAGAGATGCTTCCATTCAAAAGGACCTAGCCCTTCATTCCCTCCCCTTCTCATGAAAGCCTGGGTAGAGGTGCTGGTGGTTCCAGGGGCTACTGTCTGGACAGACTCTCGTGTCCTAATTACCCAGGCCAGGTCTGCAGAGTAGACCAGCCTCCTCCATGTCTCCTACCTCACTGGGAGCACCTGTCCCTACCCAGGGTCCTGCTGATCACAGGTGAAGAAAGAGGGAACCAGACCAGACCCATGATCCTCCCTGCCACAGGGACTCTGCTCAAGGGCCCCTCCTTGCCCAGGCTGTCCTGAAAATTCTGAGATAAACAGGGAGAGTCTCTTAGAGAGTGGGAGGTTGGCAGGTGGCAGGTCACCCCAGAAGATTCCAGAACCCCAGCTACATGGTCTGTTGCCACACCACCCTTCCCTCCCTAAAAGGGACAAATTCTATCCTGCTACTTACATGTGTCTGGCTTGTGACAGTTGTGTCCCTGACGGAAGTACTGAGGGTTCTCGATGACTGGGATCCGCGTCATACCAATGACCACTGTGTCAGGCCCAGCATCAAGAGAGGAGGGCGTGGTAATGCCATGGTTGATGTGGTGCAGGGGGCTGGCTGAGTCCTCTTCACCGCTGATGACAGCCACAGGACCTGCAGACACCACCAGAAAACATGTCATCCTGGGGAGGTCCTGCCCCACACCCAGTCAACTCCCAGCCCTGCCCACAGACCCTGTTTTCCCCACCATGTTTGCCATAAGAGCAAAGACCAATATAAGCACAATCCCCTGCTGGTTTAAATCCTAAATTCAGTGAACTCTTCCCATCAAATTTTCTTTCTTCAAATTACCTACCCCTTAACCATGGAAATACCCCCAAAGCAAAAGTGACTCAAAATGACCATGTTATAAATTATTTTCACTTCCTCTGATATCCAAAGTCATTCAAAATAATAAGAATTTTAGAGCAGGGTATGGTGGCCCACACTGGTAATTCCAGCATTTGGGAGGCTGAGGCAGAAGGACCATAAGTTTGAGGCCAGCCTGAGCTATACAGCGTGATCCTATCTCAAAAAAACAAAATAAGAATTTTAAATAAGTTCATTTATGTAGCAATAACAGGATTTTAAAGCATGATCTAGTAGAGCTTTGCATCCTGACCCTCCTCTACTTGGGAGTTTCAATAGCTTCTGATGCTGGGTTCTATCCCCACTGGTTCTGATCCACATGGTCCATGGAGCTACCTGGATGTGAGGATTGTCAAAGCTCTCCAGATGAGTCTTATTACAGCTGGAACCAACACCACTGATTGGGAGCCTGGAGTTGCAGAGCCTCTCAGTGTGGCCATCAGATCTCAGAGGACTCTGATGTGGCTCTCACCAGACTCCCCCATCAGGCCTCCCTCTTCCACAAGGAGATCAGCCTGGTGTAGACCTACATGCAACCTGAGTCAAGTTTCACAAATAAAAATAATTAGGCCATGTAACGACTGGACTTCAGGCAGCTGGGCCAGCTGTCCCTGTCTTGGAAGATCCATATCGCACCCAATAGCTTCAGAGAATACCTTTCCCATCTTCCCCAACCTCAGCTTCACCACTTTCTAACCCAGAAACAGCCCCGCGAATAAGGTTACTCCAAAGCACAAGGTGACAAAGATAATGAACTCTGCAGTCTTGACAGAACAATGACTCCGTTTGGTGGTGTGATTCTCTCATACATACACATAAAACCCCTGTAAAGGGAATTAGCTGTGACTGTTTGTGGCTTTGTACAACTGGCATTTTAAATGGCTGTTTGCTAGACACAGGGTCCCCAGAAAAAGTGCCTGCTGTGAGTTGGTTTTGTGGCTTGAACAATATTTCCACTGCAGAAATCCATTACATCTTACTGAAGTTTATGGAGAGAATATTTCCTATCAAAGATCGAGGTGAAGTGCCAATAAGGCAGAACTAAATGGGAGACTGGTAAATGCAAACTGAGGACCCTCATTTCCACTCCATCAGCACAGACAGGCTTATTACAATCCATGAGAAATGACTGACCGTATTTAGAGGCCTTTGAAAAAGCAGCAATAAGTGGTTGCCCAAATACTCAAAATAATCACCTGCCTTGCAAAAGGAAGCCAAGTCCTGAAAAATGCTTTATAAACTTTCTGGAAAACTTCACACAGTGATTTCCAGTTAAACAGGAAAAACTAAGGATGGATCTTTATCCTCTTGCCCTTGCTATTCAAATGCAAAGAAATTAAAGAAATATCAATATCACCAAAAGGAAGAAGAAGAGAGGAGACGAGAGGAAATAAGATATATCAACAACATTGTGGAAGATGAAAAGTCAAAGGAGGTCAGTGACTCAGAGAGTGTAGGAAGGGACCAACAGAGGGACTGCAGGGGCCTACAGATAGGAAGTCACTTCTCCTGGGAGGTCCAGCACCTAAAAAGACGAGAGAGCCAGGAAGAAAGAAGGAAGGAGGCTCTGAGCTGGAGCAAGGGTCTCAGGCCATGACTCCATTCCCACCCCACAAGAGTAGCAATTTATTCCTAAAGAAATAAAGTGCAAAGGCTCAGAGGAGAGCTGAGATGAAGCATGAACCTGAGATGCTTTTCTGTTCCTAGAATAAGAGAAATTGCACACAACCCGCCTATCACACCCCAATCTCAACTCACAAGACCAGGAGATCAGAGAGTGCTTCTCTGGAGAAACTCCAAGAAGACCCTAGACACTGACATTTGGGATCTCTCCATAAAAATCCAAGTTCCCTCCATGGTCATGTCATTGGATGTGCTCCATCCCACGCACCAAGGTGCATCTTACTAGCTGTAGAGAACTCAATTCCTAAAGATAAAGAAGCCGTGCAGGATCACCAGAAATTTCAGCAAAGCTTCAGCATGAGAGAGCAATTAAGGCAGGCAACAGTCAGGGAACTGCAGGAAACAGAAACAAACCAGAAAGCAGAAGATGACTTTCAAAAAAACTATTATCCTTAGAGAAGTAAATGAAGATGTCACATTTATAAAACAAGGTGATGCTTAAACATGAAATATTAGAGGGATGAGAGTTAGAAATTATGATCGTTGAAATTTCAAAGTCAAAGAAAACTGGAATATAAAGTCAGGGAAATCTTCCAGAAAAATCAAACAAACAAATGAACAAAAAAAGAGGTATATATAAAAAGGAAAAGAAATGAACATTAAAGGTTCCATACAGAGATAAAACTTCTGATTAAAAAAAATTCCGAGTGGGGAAGAAATAATGAATTGAAAAGATAAGAAGGAGAATAAAAAACGTTATGGAGATTTCTCCAAATTACCTACTTAGTTCCCAGCACAATTAATACATGGGCATGAGTACATACACACACACACACACTACACATGACACAAAATTACAGAATACCATAATGTTGGGGATAGGAAATAATGAGAAGATGCTCAGAGATTCCAGGAAGGAGGGACAGGTCCCATCGACAGGACTAGAAGTCAGATCGCTATTGATATGCCAGCTCAGAAAGGCAATAGAATTCTTCACAACAACAAACACTAAGAGCCAGGGATTTAGGATTTAGCTCAGTGGTTCCGCCCCCTGCCTGGTAAGCACAAGGTCCTGAGTTCAATCCCCGGGACCAAAAAAAAAAAACTAACACTATTATTGTTTCAGCATTGAGCAATTCCTTCCAAATGTGATGAACAACTTTTTACCTTAGAATTCTGTGCTTACATTTTTATGTACATCCACTATAAGGGCAAAAGAAAGGTACTTGAAAATGTGCAGAAATGTGCCTCACTGGTCCCTTTTTTTAGGAAGTATCAGCAGACTCCAGCAAAATAAGGGAGCAAACAAGCAAAAGAAGTAGTGTGGCCATCTTGGGCTGTAGGGTTATGGCAAGGAGGTATCCAAGGGTGACTCAGAGCCGTCACTGGAACTATAGGTCACTTGCTTTATCAGAATTGTAGACCACAGACTGCAAGAAGAAAGAAAGAACAAACAACAGGAGGATCCTTCTCCCCACCCCTTTGTGTACTGTGGGTCACCACTAAGTGACACAGAGGTAGGACATAGAATAAACAGACATTTGGGAAAGATATAACTTTGGGACTTCAATATTTGTGAAAAGCATCTCTTTGAACCTGCTCCCATTAAGTCTATGGATAATGAGAGGGCCACAAAATTTTCTAAGAGTTTGTGATCAAAAATAGTCACCACTTTCTTTGCATAAGTTAGGATTTGAAATGGCTGGACCAATAGCAATGGTGAAAAGGGTCCTGCCAAGGCTCCCCAGCCATGGGTAGGAAAGGAACCATGCAGGAAGGCTTCACAAAAATAACACAGTAAAACCAGACATCAGAGCCCCAGGGAGCCCAAAGCTTTGAGTGTGAGGATTGGGAAAGGGGTAAGGAAAAGGAAGAGAGGAAATGGCCAGAAAAGTAGAAAAGAATTAGTAGAGGGCATTGTTCTAGAAGTTAAAAGAAGAGAATTTCTACAAGCTCAAGAGAATCAAAACTTGAGGACAAGTAGGATGAAGAATGAAAATAGGCCACTGAGTTTGAGAAATAGAAAATGATCTTAATGACAGTTTCCACAGAATGGCAGAGAAAAAGTCAAATGATGGTGAGTTGGGTTAGTTGGACAAATTGCAATCATCATCACAATTTTTATCATCCAGTGCTTCCTAAGTATTAGTCTCTGTAAATATTATTCCTTTAAGGTTATAATGCCTCTGTGAGGTTGTTGTCATTATTGTCCTATTTTAAAGATGGGAGTGTTGAGGCACAGAGCACTGTGCCCCAGGACAAAGGCCCTTCAAGGACATGGCGACTGAGAATTGGAACTCACAGCCTGGCTCAGAACCACCACCCAACACCACCTCCCTGCAAGTGCAGGCTGTGGGGACAGTAAGTGTTTGAAGGGACACCAGATCGATCCCAGTACATTGTTCTCCTTTATGAGCCGCTGCCTTCAATGGCAAGTTCCTGGGATTCTTTTAAAGATGTTCCTCTTGATCTTTGAGAATTGAGACAGGAGTCAACTCACTAGTTTCATCCAGATAGATTACAGATAATGCATCATCTCTCCCTCTGCTATTTTTTTTTTTTTTTTTTTTAGGCACCAGGGATCAAACTCAAGACCTTGAGCTGGTACCACTGAGCTGAATCCCAGGCCCACTTCCCAGTCTGCTGAACGCTCTTATTAAACCACATCCACACAGAAAAGAGCACTGTACCATCAGAGCCTCATCCAGTCTCCAAGGCCCTATTACCCCTGCTTTTTTATGAACTGCATTCCTTAAAATGAAAGCCAATAAAGGGCACAAAGACCTATAGATTCCAAGGATATGGAAGGAGACCCTGGTGGCTTGCCTCTGTCTGCCTGTGTCTGAGACCAGCACAGTTCTTCAATGGAGCCATCACTGGAACTGGCGCAAATAAGACCTCCTTGGACAATACTACTAGACATTTAGTGTCCATGGACCTGGGCAAAAAAGCCAGTCTCAGGCTGGGGGTGGTGGTGCACACTTTTACCCAGCTACTTGGGAGGCTGAGGTGGATAGATTGCAAGTTCAAGGCCAGCCTGGGTAACTTGCCAAAACTTTATAACTAAATAAAAAATAAAAAGGGCTGGGGATGTAGCACAGTGATACAGCATTTGCCTAGCA